TAGATACTTGTTCATACACCTCAGCTAAGCTTATACTGTGCTTTTTTTTCTTGTCCTTTTGGGTTTTCCCCAGAGAACACCTATTATATATTTCTACTGCCTATTGTATACACCAGCTGCGTTTTTGCTGCCAGATGTTGCACCAGAAATGTCAGCTTCTGCTTGAGGCAGAGAGCAAATGCAATTAGAGGTGCCCTGGTGACAGCTTGACACTTATGGCGGTAAAGTTTAAATTTTTAATTAGGCATGTAATGCAAAAGTCCACACAACTTGAATTCTTCCAAAAACTGGACCAGCACTACACTGACACCTTTTTATCAGGGAGATGCAAAGATCAATGTGCTGGCAAAAATCCAAATGGATTGGCTGTTACTTGTAAAATACCTGAAGCTAGTTTCTGAAGCACATTCTGCATGCAGTAGCTGTGAGGAGACCTGCTTTCCAGGGCAGTAAGGAATGCTATTGGTTTAAAGTAGTTAATTGCTTTTATATGCATTTATAAATTTATACATTTCTAAAATTAAATAAATTTAAAGGCATTTATACATGCCTTTTTTAAAAATTACCATAAACATACAAAATATATAAAATAAAAGGCCTGAATACTATTTTCATGACTTATGTAGTTAGTTCCCATTTACTACATTTTTACCACTCACTTTGTCTATCAATTGCTTTTGCAAGTAAACTGAATGAAGCCAATTTATAATATATAAATTAAAAACTTTGAACACAATTATAAGCATAATGTATCAAGTACATTTAGTAGTAGTAATACTCTGGATGGCTTAGTTTAGTGTAGCTATGAGAAGCAGAAAACACCAAAAAAATCATGCCAAGTTCAAACTAAATGTCTGCTCCTAGGGCTACATGATCAGATCACAGCCCAACATCAGATTCATTTTGGATACACTGTTTCTAGTTAAATGCAAGACAGCTTTCTTCTTTTTCTCTTGTACAAATTACACATGCAAGTGTGGTCTATGTTTGTTCATTCATCATGAATTTCCTGCCTGTATCCTGCATTTGCATTACTTTACAGTACAGCTTAAAAGATTGCAAGTGAATGAGTAATACAAGTTAGCTGCTGCATGCTGCCTACCTCTGTGCATGATCTATTATCACAGTGTAGTTTAAAGTATCTTACTGAAAGATATCCATAATACTGCTCTTGTGTACCAGAACTGCATAGATACTCTTGACAGCAACTTAGCTCTACCTGGTCATTTAGGACAGGTAAACAGTAATTCATGCTGCAGGAATAATTTGGGGAAAAGGTACTCCTTCAGATTTTGGCCAAGAGGTTAAATTTATAAATATTTATTCTTGTGAAAAATATAATTGGCTCAAAATAATTCTGACTCTTCATTCTCTCTTGAAAAGACAGGTTTTCCAGAAATTGCTGGGCCACAGGGATGAACATTTAATTTGGAATGACAGACACTATTTCCTCTTCACATAAAAGCAGTTGCAAGTAATTCTTCTCCTGCATGTCAGTTGGTTGATCTAAATCTCAGGTTTATCTTGTATTTAGATAAATTTGAAACATACCATCAGAATGTGGACAGTAGCACACTGTTGACCTTTCACCCACCAGCTCTGGAAGGGATGAGCCTCATGTGATATTTACAGATTATATTAGTGCCTACAAACTTACAGTGTGACTGGTACCTCATCTCCCGTAAGAACATGCTCCACTGGGAGACTGTCCTCTCCATTTTCCCCATACATAAGTTTTTTCAAAGAGTATTGAAAAATGAGAGCAGCAGGATGATCAAGGATCCCAGAGCCAGGATATGATATGATATGATATGATATGATATGATACGAGTTACCTCACACGTGAGACATAGGAAAAGAGGGTATATCAACAAAGGAAATTTTACACCTGGCTGAAAAGAAAATACAGTGTCTTTTCCAGGAGTGACTTAAATTTTTGATTACCTTATTTGAGCATCTCTGCATTTGATCACATGTGTTGGATGTGGTCTGGAAGTCTCTGTATTTGGCAGGGTTAAAATACTCATCCTATCCAGAACCAATATACACAGAAAAGCAGGGGGAAGTGTCATAAAATGACTTGTGCTATACCACTCAATTAGTATTCCCTCTTAGAGTATTGTTTTCAATTTAAAATCTTTACTATTTAATTTTATTTTTATTATTTCTAATTTTTTTACTCTTTAAAGATGTTTTAACACTATTTTCTCTTCATTATTTCATTGTTTTTATTTTTTTTTAATTTTCATTATTTTAATTAACTGTTCCTTGGTCTGGGATCCCCTCATTCTTTACTACTCTCTGTACTGGGCACCAAAGCTGTCAGAGCTCCCAAGGCAGAGTGGTGTGGTACAGTTGAAGACTGCGAGTGTGACTTCATTGGGGAATATCTGCAAAACATTATCACCTTTTCCTGGAGTCAGAAGCATTTAATTGTTCAGACCTTTCTCAGCTACATGATTTTGACATTGTGGCTGAAGTTACCTTAACTGTTGTGAATTAATTTCAGATTCACTTTCTCATTTCATGCTGCTAAGTGAACACTTTGTTCCCTGCATTCACCACTTCCTGGGAATTTCACTGTGCTGCACTTGTCAGTGAGCCACTGCAGTGCATTTCTCCCTCCCTGCAGTGAGCACATGTGTTTGAAATTGCAGTGTGGATAACTCTGTAAATTTTCAATGGTTTCACATTAAAACGACAGGGAGAAATGCCAAACTATGAACAGCTGCTAGTCAAGGGAGAATGAAACAACAATCACACAAAATTCACAGAAAGTAAAAAGTTTCTTTCAATCCAACAGTTACTACCTATTGCCTCTGGATATGTTCTGTGGCCAAAGCCACAGTGTTCTCGTTTCATCTGGGAGCAAACTTTTCTCAGTGGAAGCAGTATATTGCATGTGAACATCTTGAAAAAACCCTGCAGCTGAAATTTTCCAGAATTAACACTCAAAATAATGGGTAGTGTCAAAAAAAAGAGAAGTAAAAATAATGAGAAATAATCTAGACACTAGGTGACCACTCAGCTTAGTTTAAAGCTAAGTTTTAAGCAGCACTGTTCTTAATCTCTGGAGATGGGGGGGGGGGAATGTACTAAGAATGTACATATTTCCTTGAGGATTATAATTAAATTTAGAAACTAACGTGATCATAAAATGTACATGCTAGGGTTTAATTTTAGGTCAGAGTCATATGTTAAAAAAGATTGCTACCCTAGATTTTAAAAACATTAGCCCGAGTCATGTAGCACAACTGAGTTTAGAAAATGTACAATTACTGATGCCGGCAAGAAGTCACACCAAGGGCAAATGAGATTAGTAAGAAATAAAATTCCATGTCACTAGCAAAATAGAAACTGAAATGAATAATCAAATTGGCAGATCATTCATGCAGCCTAGGCAGCAAAGTCCAAATAATGGTCTTGAAAGCCAAAAAAACCATCTACAGTAAGCACTTAAATAATGGATTTGAAAATTTTTCAGCACACAATGTTGCAATAACTTTCATAGTACTTAAAATATAAAGTGATTTTGTAGCTTTCACTGCTGACCTTAGCACAGTAATAAATCTGCAAAAAACTACAAAGTAGGAAAAAATTTATTTGAAACCACTGGACATATGTATTAATAGGAAGGATTCTAGGATTTTCCACACTGCCCAAATTTCTTTGTCAGTGTCTCTCCGACGGAAGCAGGGCAGAATTCTAGGATGTGAAGGTGAATAGCTGCAGCAACACTCTCATGCTCTTGGATGTTGGGTTATAACTCCAATAGGCAGTAGCACATATACAGGAAATGTAATAATGAACAATCTTTGGCATTGCAAACATCTATCAATTGCTGCAGCACTGAAGATGATGACTTCCAGCTTATTTGAAGGAATAGTTTAGGGTAACTTTTGGTATAACTACTGAAATGCTCTTAATACACTTACATACACAAATATCCATGCTCAATCAAAAACAGTTGAAGAAAAGAAACATTTTCATTTTTCTGTAAAGGCTTCCCTTTTTTCTTCCCCAGTACTCTCCAAATAAGTGTGCACTTCAAGCACACAGACAGAATATGTACACATGTACCAAGAATTCAGTGAAAGAAAGGGAGATAAGGTATAACACCTACATAATTGATCAAAGCCTATACCCTGAAAATTCCTCTTGTGTTTCCATCAGTGGCAGCATGACAATGCATATTATCATGAGTGTGAGTCCACCAGGCACAAATAAAAGTAAACACTCAGCAATACCTGTTCTGGATGGAAGTGAAGTTTAAACCCTGCTTAAGCACATTATCAAAGTTTAAGGAAAATCATAGGCTTGGCAAGAGAGATATGGTCTCTTTAAACCTTGCTTCTGCTACCTAACATATCAATACATTTTAGACACTTTGCACTAATTTCTACACTCTTGTCCATAAAAGATCTACTGATTGAGGACATTATGTTGGAAATAACAGAGATATAAATGATTCATATGTACTGTCCAATTATTTCAATGCTTAGGGTTAAGACAGAAGGAGAAACTTTAAGCTGTTTTTGAGCTACTAAAATACTTCTCACATGGCTATGCCTAAGCTAACAGATAAAGGAAGGCAGGGATCTCTTTAGGTCTCTGGAAAGACTACCAGGAGCCTCAGCAAACAGTGGAGCACATGGCTAGAAGCAAATGTAGGTGCAGAAATATGGATTGCACTCAGTAGAATTCAGGCCATTCAAACCCAGCACTTGATTTTTCATATTGCACAGCACACGGGATGAAATTCTGTGGCCTACTTGTGCATAAGGTTGAAAAAGATGACTGTAATGGCCTGTTTTGGCCTTCAATCCCTGTGTCTGATTTTCCTTTAGGCTACACTTTTGCACTGCTCTGGCCTATATTTAGGCATGCTTAAAAGCATTTTTCTACTGCTACAGCAGAGTGAAGGAGTTTCAGAGTAAACAAACCATACCCCCAGATTCTATATAGTTTCAATGTGGAAGATTTTAAGGAAGATCTCTTACTTCTTTTTCCATTTGAAGTCCTTCTGCTCTGATATTTCTCTCAAATACTTCCCTCTTCTCTGTCTGTGGATTAGATTTTCTATACACAAGGATGTAGTCAATCCGACATTTCCCATCTCTAAAATATAGTCCATTGGTTTTGTTCTTATCAGGTACCTCCTGTGAAGAGAAAATCAAGCAATTCAGTAATGCTAATTTGCCTTGATAATTGCTGCATTGCTGTTTTCATCATCAGCTTTCAGCAGGAAAGATAAGGAATCACAACAAGCTGTTCAAGTTTTAGGCTCTTCACATGCAATGCTTCTGACTTCATCTGAGAGGGGCACAGACTTCCCTACTTAAGGGGATCTTAAGGGGCATCAGGAGGTCTTAGGAAAATACTTGGACATTTGGGGATGGGATAGGAGAGAATAGAACACATAAGAGAACCTCCCTCCCCCACCACCCTCCACAAGATTAGGAATAATTTCTGACTTATATAATAGAGCAGAGAATAGTGTCACTGAAGTGTAAACTTAGAATTAAGAACTTAATATGGCTGAATGCCTTTGTACATGTGAAAAGAGTAAACATGAACATTATCATTAACATTTACTGTAGTGAGAAACGGTAAAACCTGGCACAGAGATTTTCATTACTTTGCCCCTTAGGACACAGACAGCAATATGAAGGTTCTGTACCAACCTCACCATACCTCATCAAACTAACTACAGAATACTCCTTGCTTAAGGAATAGCTGAGGGTGGATTTAATTGGATTTATTTGGAAAGAATCCCTGGTTTTAGGTGTAGCAGCACATAAAAACAATAAAAGCAATAAATAGTGTCTCTTTTCTTTAAAAAAAACCCAAAAAACCAAAACAAACAAAACAAACAAACAAACCTCCAACAAAACGAAACAAAAAGTCTATTAAAATGTTTGGTCTGATAGAAAAACACAACTTGATTTCACTGAGAGGACAAACAGGTTACTCTCCTGAGATATAGAAAACCAGGCTACAGGTCGTTTTCCAGTAAGTCATGAGATGAAATTCTCTACAGATCCTCCTCACAATTTAACACTACTTCTATATAATACAAGTCCTGCCCAGGGTTTAAGTTTTCACTTTCAGAGAAGTTGAAATTGCATGGCAGTTTGCAATGGTTGGAGTGTTTCATATAGGAAATGTACACTGTGATGGAGATGTGGAAACAAACAGCACTCCCTCTGTGCAGTATAAAGGGCAAGGACCTTCAGGCATCTCAGGATCAGTTCAACTCTAAGGTGAAGGGAAGGTTAAGCTAATTTGCCCCTGTTTTTCCAAAACTTTCTCTGCTGTTTCTGCCAAAAGTAGTCCTGCCCTACAATATGCAATCAAGTCTTTGGAAAAAAAAAAAGAATATTTTGCCTTTCACATCTGGGGAAAGGAGGGAATTTTCAAAATACTTTCACCATTAGAGAATTACTTCTGAATTTAAATCACAAAGTGAACATTATAATAGGAAAAATTATTTTTACAGGAAAACCCTCCCAAAACAATTTTCCCATTCAAATAGTTTAGTGTAAGCTATCTTTCTGTTTCTCAGCAGGCATTTTGATTCAATGGAAAAACCAATGAAAGCATCTCAAATGTCCCATCCCCTTGGTACATCCAGTTCACTAAAGGAAGAGGGGAATTTTTTTTTAACGTTCTTTCATTACAATGCCTAACTCCTGACACAACTTAGGGCATACTTGATACAGTGAACAGTTCTTAGAGCCCAAAGAGAAGAAAAGAAAAAAGATTTAATCTCTAAGGAAAAAACAGTACTAAACTATTTATATCTGTGCTGCATATCATGCTGATAAATGATATTACCAAGATATGAGAAGTATTTTTCATAGAACATTAAATGTGAAAACAGATCAGGAGGTACACTTTATTTTTTTCCATTAAAAATCTCTTTATGTCAAGAAGACATAAAAAAAGCCCCAACAGCCCAAAGGGTATTTAAGGTTATTTAAATAAAAGAAGGATGTAGCAAGAGATTTAGAGGCTGTGGGTCAGCTTGGTGGTCCCGTTGTGATTTCTATCTCTCCCAGCAAGCCTCCTGTTCAGTAGTCAGAGTCAACATGTATTTTTGGCACAATAGGAAAGGAGCTGTAGAGCAAAACAATCCATGCTGAAGATCTGCTGTGTAAGCTATGTAGGCTTAAGGTCTCACCTTGGGCCCCCTTGTAGTCTGGTCCAAAAGACTCAGTGGATTTACATCCATAAGGAATACAGATTTAAAACCCAACACTGCTCTGGACCTCAAAGAAATCATGGGAAGGGGCAACTGATAGATCCACTTCAAATGTACACTCCTCATCTGAACTCAGACTCATCCTGAGAGTACCATAAGGAATGTGTGCTTCTCTGCATGCAGTAGTGACTCCACTGGAAAAATTGATTTGCCCTTTCTTATGTTTCTCTTTCTCTGAAGAAAATTGGTTTGCCCTGCACTGACTCATCACTGAATGCAGAACCTTATATTAAAGAGCATCTGTGAGATTTAGCCAAGGTGTTTGACTTGTCAGACTTCTTCCACTACAGATATGATTGCCTGGGACAATTACTTCCCTTGGACTTGTGAAACACTACCAACCACAACTACAGTACTGTAATTTTTCACTCAGAAAGGTGGCTTGGACACCCTTATCTGCACTTGAAGGCCCTTTTCATTTTAGGAACACTTTTTGTCAAATCCAGATTGATAAACCCTATTAGACTCTTTCAGCCTCTGGGAAGAAAACCTTTCTCTGGCCCTCTGTTACAGGCTCTAAGGCAACTTTATAGACTGAGTCTGGACTTGCAAGGACTCTTGGGGGTCTAACATGATACAGAGACAGTCAGGGCTGGCTCAGCAGTGCCAGCTGCCAGACTTCTGCATCATCCAAGTATTACAGAATGCTGGAAGAAAGTAGAACAGTGAAGACTTCACTCTAACAAGAAGCTTAGCATTTCTGTCTATCTTCGTGACTGTATTGTAATATGTGCTGTATAATTTGGACTTGTTTTCCAAGGAATACAGTCGTTTTTATATCCTCAGGTGCTCAGCTGGGAACCATCAGCATTCAGACATGACTCATATACATGCATACACTAGGAGAGTTTTAGGCCAAAGAGTTTATCCACACATATCCCTACAAACCATATAACATCTGAACAGTGTATCTTGTCCTTCCAGAGTTTAGCAGGGACCAAGTACTTTGAAACATTTTTTGGTAGGCTGCAGTATCCCTGGAGTCCCATTAAGACTTTCAATTTTCATCTTTTTTTCCCCCCATCTTACACTTATATGTGACTTACAATGCTATTTTCCTCAGTTATGGTTACATAAAGACCTCTTAAATCTGCTCATAGTCCTCAAAGGTTTTCCCTTTCTCTTTAAAGAAAACAAAAAAGAACTCAACTAAGAGAAAAAAAATAGATGTTTTGAGATATTGTTTTTTCAATATTATTACATTAACAGCAACATGTCCTTCTGATCATTGTCTGTTAATTTTTCCTCTTTAACTTACAAAAATAATGTGCCTTTCACCTGTTCCTTTTTGCTAAAGACATGGTCCCAAAATGCAACATGGGACTATCACGTCAGATTAACCTATTACAGTGCAAGCAGGCAAAGAGAGTCCTTTATATGCTGTATGGGAAGCTAGGGAAGAGCTATGATTAAAGAAGATTAAATTGTGAGCAAGGTCAAACATATTCAGGGTGCCCTGAATTTTGTTGCTTTAATTATCTGTCTAAACATTCGAGGAGTACAGCTCTCTATGGGCTGAATTTCTAGAACAAAGAAAATCTCTGGCTCTCTCTCCTCAGCAGTGTTGCACAAAAGAACTTGCACCACAAAACCCTCTATCTCCTGAAAAAGATAATCTCTAATTGCCTCTTCTAAACTCTACCAAAACTGGTAAACAAAAGAGGGTCAGGGCAGAGCCCTCAGCAATGTCCTGTGGTTTTCCACTCTTTTTAATTACTAGAATGGTCCCTGCCAGTTCTGATCTGTTCCAGTCAGCCCTCTGCCAAAACTTCCTCAGGCACAGCTTGCAGGTAACATCAGACCAGTCCAGCAAGCAGTCTAGATGTAGCCCCATTCCTGAGGTGGAGGAAAGGAGAGAACTCTCTGGTCTCTTCACTTGCTGAGGAAACAACCCTAACATCCATGGGTGGCAGGGCAGTGGGAGGCAAAGTAAAAGGGCATATTGTTCCTTTCTTCATAAAAGACACAGAAAGAAATTAAGGCCCAAATTTTCATCTGGGACCACGACACTTTGCCTGCTTTAAGACAGATTTTAAAAGGGACTACAGGCTCAAAGTTCCCTTCCTGGATTGTTGGCTGAATCACCATTATGCACCATTAGGTCAGAATTGCTCTTCATTGGAAAGGAATGTGCCTCTTACCTGACACCTAATGCTTCTCATGGGAGTTGTAGATAAATCCCCTCCACACTCTTTCCACTTAAAGGATGAGTATAGGGAACATTTTTCCAGCATTTTCAGAAGCATTGAAAGCTTAGATTTGTATTGGTGTTTCACTGAGGGTGCATGAAATCAAAACTTTTGAATTTGACGTATTTTATATTTCAGCACGATAATCTTAGAATGTAAAACCAGTTCTCATGGGAAGGATTAGACACAATTTGATGGTAGAGAATGAGATTTTAAATCAAGTTACGTTTATTAAGTCTTTATAATGGGCATGAATAAATAGTGTATTAATAATTCTGTGTGTTCTTACCTCTCCCACAACTTCCAGCCTGCTGGCATCATCAGAAGTACTGGTCAAGTTACCATGGTGAAGCAGGGAATCATCATCTTTGGAAGGGCTGTTTACACCTTCTAACTCATCAAAAAAAATGTTGACATCCTTAGCTACTAAAAAACAAAAATAAAAATACACATTCAAATCACCACTGAAAGAAATGAAGACAGCAAGTATAACCCATCAATAATTTCACTTTTTAGGTCTGGTATAAGTATCTACTACATAAATTTTAAAATCTGATGAGCATTGTTGGAATTCTTTCTTCATCAATGAGCCACATGAAAATTTCACCTCTGATGAAAAATAAACAATCTACTATCACAATAAAACAGATATTAACTATCTTCTGAGCTTATTTTGGGGCAAATGGCTTAAATGACTACCTTCTGGATTAGTATTGTCTCTGAAAGCTTCTTATTATAAGGAGGCAGAATTTTTACCTACTATGCAAAGTGTGAAGTTCGAAGCTGTACAGACCTGTGGGGCAGCCAGAGGCACAAGGCCTTAAACAAATCCTGTTTCTTGAAAGGCATTGAGTAAACAAACCTGGGCAGGCATTTCTCTTTTCACAGTTTGGCATGTTTTGATGCAAATAAATCTGACACTTTTGGATCCACCTACCACACAGCCCTTGGTCTTGCACAAAGCAGTCACTTACATCTACAGATTTAAGCTGTGGTAAACCAACCCTGATAAAAAATATAGATATTAATGTCTGGAGTGACTGCCAGATGGGAGGAGCAGGGCAGGCAGGCTCACTCTGCACTCCATGCACTACAGGTCTGGTGAAAAACATGATGAAGAGATGTGTGCCAGGAGAAGAAAAATGCCTAAGCTGAGGACCACGCTTCAGCCCTGGAGGAACTTCAGGTCTCCAGTCTCATGTTTCATAGGCAAAATCCAAAATCATGAAAATAGAGTTACAACTGTTAGAAGGGACCCCCAAAAGTCCCAGCTACTGAGCCTCTTCCACTGCCTACAGTGGGAGAAAATACCTAATAGTCTTGACAGAAATTAGTTTAACTCCCATCCCTATTCACATTTCTTGCAAGCTTGACTGACTTTTGGAATCATTCTTCTTTTGTGCAATAAACTCCTGTTGCTTTTGCTTGTCCTCAGCTCCCCTAATTTAGTGACAGGCAATTGTAATTCCTGTTGGTGAGAATCTATATCAACAGCCAAAAATCTCTAATTGCTGGCAGCAACTTAGTTCCATTTCTTACTACTGGCTGCAGGTGTAAAAATCTGTTCCCTCACTGTGGAGAGACTGGATTGCTGCCAGAAATTAACAGCCACTAACTGTTCCCAGTGATCATGAACATTTTGTGACCTCCTTTTCACCTTTCCCTTCTTCAGAGGTCACAGTTTCAGAATCCTTTAAAAAACTGCTGATAATACCAACTCCCCAGTCTGCAGGTGACCTATTTTTCATGCTCACAATCAAGAGACTCTTATCCATAATATTCATCCTTAAAACAGACATATGTTGCAATTTAAATATACTACTCTTTCCCTGTCAATCATGTACATGGAAAAAAGTTTCCTCCCTTTTTGTACATGTCTTTTACAGCACCTAAAGTCTATTATTACATCTGTAGGTAATAAAAAAGAAAAGCCTATCAAAATAATCAAGAATCCTTCATCTTCATTTTCATTTATAAAACAGGGACAAGGTTAATGAAAGATATATTTTTAATTGCAAGAGTTTTACTTGGAAAGCAAATAAAAGTTTTATAAACAACAGAGAAGTCCTCATGTCCAAATTAATCCACTCTAAATATTAGGCTAATGTGTCTCATGTAAGCTAAGCAGAATAGTTTCTAAGAGACATTCTGAGTTTCTGGTGTTGTTTAGTTATATGTGATGAGGGCCTGCAGCTCCTCAGTGTCACTGTGGCTGCCTCAAACTTGTCCTAAGGGAAACCACAGAGGCTTTAGGAGACTTAAAAGGCAACAAATAGATTCCAGTTTGTAGCACACATGCAGCAGTAATATGCCTGATTTCTTTTCCCACCTTCATTCATTTCAATCCACAAAAATCATACCAGAAATGCTTATAAAAGAGAGGGAAACTGCCACAACAAAGCACAGCATAGCCTAACCTCATGTCCTTCACGGTCCCTACACTTCCAAAAGTCAAGACTAGAAACATTCCACCCCACCCCATCAAATAATAATTTGGATGTAGACAATGACCAGATTTTGCACACATGTTCATATGGGAAGAATTAATCTCAATATTCAACAGAAAAATAACTGAAACAGAAAACATTTTGAATTACTTGAATTTTGCTGAATTAAAACCCATCAGTGTCTCCATGACAGTGACACACGAATCTGTATACAATTAAAACCTCAATATAATCTGGAAACAACTGTGGAAAACACTCTGAAAAAAATGACATAGTGAAGCTTTCTGAAGATTATTCATGATACATATATCTGTTGCAGACAGTATCAATGAAAGCTGTAAAAATGAAAGTTTTGCCTGTTTGCTATACTCAAGGGAATTTAAACTATCTTTGTTCTGACATTATAACTGCTTTGAGATAAAAGATGAGGCCTCTGAGATACTAGAATTCTGCTTCTTGAAGTGCTGGTAATGCTTTGGGTTGCAAAATATATAGTTTTTTAAGTGGATGTTTTGAGATACAGAAGTTGGTGTGTAAGAAAGTGAATGTGTCTGGAGGCTGGAAACAGAGAATTACTGGATTATCCTGATGATTTGTCAGAAGTCAAAAAATCTTATTTTAAAGTAATTTTAAAATACAGTCCATCTCAGCAGTGAAGAAGTTTTGGAAGTAACTCTCAGCTTAGTGAAACCTCAGGTTAGTGAAATTAGCTACCAGGATTTGTCCAGATTGCCTGCAGTGGAAAATTGTTTATATCAGAAATACACAGATAATTGGTGTGTTGGTTGGTCACTACAGAAAATATGGGGCCCAACCTTTGCCAAGGTTATTTTTCTACCCCAAGTCTCATTATATACTTGAAAATAAATGAATAAAATGCTGTTCTACAAAACCAAATAGATAATTTATACAGCAATTCCTGTTTGCTTTACATTAGTAATGGTGATAGTACTTCCAAGATAACTCTCCTGCTGCTTGTAGGTAGCACAGCCCTTTCACACCAATGGACTCAACACCTACATAACCAAATGTTGTTAGAGGATAATCAGGCCTCCAATTTTCTTGTCCCCTTCAGACCCTGACGTGCATATACCCACAAATGCCCTTAACAGAATGATATATAGTGGCTTTATTATATATAAAAATGCTATTTGAGAGACAGATTGGTGCTACTGTACAGTCGTGTATTTTTAAGCAGTGAAATTTAACAGGAATCCAGAGCAGCACATGCATTGCTACAAGAGATATTAAGAATTCTCCCTCTGGTTTTATATCAGCTTAAATATGCAAATTATTTTCTCCCCTTCATGTTCTATTTTTCAGGAAAAAAAATCAAAATTACTTGATAATTCAGAATCTCTTGAAGAATAAAAGGGGAAAAAAAAGCGGGTATACAAACATTTTTATCCCAAATATAGTAGAAGAAAATATTCTGAAAACTGGATCCTGATAAATTCTGAGCAGGAGTCCACACAATCTCATTGGGTCCACAAGCCACCTCAGATCAAGATGCTGATATAAGGTAGGACTCAAAAACAAGATAATTCTTTTAACTTTCTGAAGGTGGATGCTGAAAGAGAAGTGCCTAAAAATAAGAACTTTCATTAAAAAATGGGACCTTACTTTGTTACTGTGTGAGAAGATGGAAACATGCTTAGAGATCATGTTTCTTTTCACTGTAATTTTATTAGCAAAAGTCCCACCAAGCCATCAAGTATACTCTCACTTTGGATAATGCTAGCTGGAGGTCAATATTCCAAAGTTTATCTTAGCAAGAAAAATTATTTGGTTTCTAAAATCATCATTAGCCTGTTTTAAACTATCATTCAATGCTAACATCTGTGAAAAAAAGTAACATTGGCCGCTCAGAGCAACTACCCTAGAAAGAATATTTAGACATGTTTATCCCAATTAGATGATATTTGCAATAGACTGCAGGTGACAATGCCCCTCTGGACACACCACAAGCCTCTTGTGGGTTGTACAGAATCCCTTCAGTCTTTAATGAAGGAGATGTAACTAAAGGACATAGAGGTTAACTTCCCAACAGCATCTGTGTCTCGTCTGGATAAAGGAAAAATACTCTCCAAGGCTATAAAAGCTGCATCCTTCTCAAATAGCTTGTGAATAATCCATAAATCAAAATGTTAATTCTTGAAGCACTCCCAGATTGAATTGCTTTTCCATCTTTAGCCATTTTTTCTATTCACCTCTGAAAGGCACTGCAGTATCTTTCATTCTCTCCAGTCTGCATCCTGACTGCCCCCAGGCCTATATTTGGACTCTGCTGGTGTGGAGAAGGGAGAAGACAAAACCTAACATTAAGATTTCCTGATGGGAAAAACTTTTTAAATCAGAAAACATGGAATTCATCCTAAACCTGTAGCTTAAGTAATAAGGTAATTCAATTTCAAATTATTACACCCATCATCATACTAACCTAAGCATTTTCCTTCCACCTATAAAAAAATAGCAACACTAAACAGCCTGATTCCACCACTGTGTGGTTTCTTATTCACATGGCAGAAATCAGACAAAGTCCGGATTTTTACACATTATTATTCACCCTTCATCACTCTAAAATGCAAGCTGCTGTTTCTCACTCTAGAAAATTGCTATTCCAAACACCCAGTTTAAAATCAAACTGGAAAATAAGGACGCCAGGAAGCCACGCCTTGCATTTTGATTCTCAGCCTGCATAAGAATTTCAAACTATTATGAAAAATACCCACTGAAATTACAGATTCTATTGGATTCCAGAATTGCATCGGTTTTGGGTAGGAGGAGTGTCTTCCACTGTTATCAACAAGAGTAGCACTACTTCTAGCACAAATGTTGAGATAATTCTGCAGCTGGATTTAAGAAGGGTAAAATAATTAATTCTTAGTCCACAGAACATTCATATAAAAAGAGATAATTTTGTGCAGCATCTAAGACATGAAGACCCTCACTTGTTGTGACAATCTCATGACTTCTCCC